ATGGATAGAGCGTCGGATTGGGGACTGAAAGGTCCCGGATTCGATTCCGGTCAAGGGCATGTACCTTGGTTGCGGGCACACACCCAGTAGGGGGTGTGCAAGAGGCAGCTGATCGATGACTCTCATCGATGTTTCTAACTCTGTATCTCTCTCCCTTCCTCTCTGTACAAAATCAATAAAATATATATTTTTTTAAATCAGCCTCTATCTATACTGCGGGAGAGGGCCGGCGGGGCACTTCGGCTGGGCCCTGCTTCCTTTCCTGCAGTCCTGCGTGCTGGGAGGTCCGTTGCGCTCGCTCCGGGGGCCGCGAGTGCGCGCCTTCTCCAAGCCTTACGGTAGCGCAGCGCGCGGAGCGACCACGTGGCGGCGGAACCGAGGCCAGGCGGGAATGCGTGGAATGCGGGGGCGCAGCCCGCGCGGCTCCCGAGCCAAGAAGGCCTGGGTTCCCGCAGCGCACGCTCCCCCCTTCCCTGTCTTCCCAGCTCGGCCGCACCCCTGCCCCAGGCCCCGACACCCAGGACCGCAAGGGCAGGGCCAGCCCCAAAAGAGCGCCCAGGCGGCCCGTTCAACCCGTCAAACCCCACGCACCCAGGGCTCCCCCGTGGGTCCAAACTCGCGTCCTGCCACCAGGCCCCGCCGCGTTGGACCGAGGGAACCATAGAGCGGGGTGCAGGGGATTACGCGTGGAATCTCTTCACTCACGTGAAAAAGCCCCTCCGCCACCCTCCTGGCAAGTGTCCGGAGCCCCAGAACTCAGAGGGTCCCCTCCATCCACCCGCCCCCAGGGCCACGGCGAGGCAAGAAAGCCTTTCCAGGGCAGAACAAAGCTGACTGGGAAGCAGGGAGATGCGGGGGGAGGAGGGAGCCGGCAAATGACAAGCCCTAGAGGTGAGGGAAGGGGCCTCGAGCCCTTCGTGGGAGGGTGGGCGCCGCAGGAAGGTGTTGGAACCCGTCTTCCTGCAGAAGCTTAGAGCCACAACCCAAGGTTTCCGAGTCCCCGCAGCGCTTCCCCGCGCCTTAGTCCGAGGCGGGGGTCTGCTCAGCCCGGGTGGGTGGGCCGTGGGTTGGCCAAGGGAGTCGAGAGAAAGACATGGCTTCCTAGGGCATCACCCCCGGATCAGCCTTAGTTGGAGGTGGCTATGTTCTCCCTCCACGGCACCTGGTCAGCCCCTGGCCAGGGCCTGAGCCAGGAGGCCGGGACATTTCTCGTGAGCTTGGTGTTGCATGCTGCTCAGGGCACCAGGCCATGCGCTTCGAGGGACGCAAATCCAGGAGTTAGAATCTCTTCTCACCTCCTCCCTCGGGATCCCAGAGGCAGGGGGAGCCAGCCTCCTCCCACACCTTGGGGTTTGCTTTTCAAGCCCCCACGCGCGCCTCGCCTGAGGCCTTCAGAAGTGAGAAAGGGGTGCCCCAATCCGCATCTTGCCACACCTACCCCACTGGGGCTCGGAGGAGGGGATTGGTCTGTGTGTGGCTGAAATGAATGGATCAGGGACAGAAACGCAAGCCAGAGGCCTGGGGAGGTGGGAGGTGCGGCTGCCCCCGCGCCCAGCTGGTAGCTGCCCCGGTCAGCGCCCGGCCCAGGGACCGCAGCCTCGGGGCGCCGCGGGTCCGGGTCCGCCCTGCGCGGCCCCGGTGGAGCCACCGCAGCACGTGGACCGCCATGCGCGCCCCCAAAGCCAACAGCCCCTTGGGGGAAGGGGAGCCCAGGCGCCTCCGGAACTCCGCGGCCCTCATTCGGAAGCGTTTTTCTAGGGCTCCTTAAGGGCTTAACAATGAAAAACTCGCGGAACTGGAGCCAAGTCCTTTCAAGTCGCCGCAGGTATGCGGCTGCAGGTGACCCCACCTGGGAACGCCGCCCCCTCCACCCCTTTCCTCCCGGAGGAAAAAGTGGGTGCCGGAGGTCAGCACCCATGGGAGATCTCCTCCGGGCCTTGCACCCCCTCCCCAGAGCTCCCCCCCTCCCCCCGCGGAGCCGCGCGCAGCCGCGGAGCTGGCCAAGGTCGGCGCCGCGCGGGTTCCTGAATGAGCGCGCCCTCCCCCGCCTGAATGGAGGTTCCCACCGCCGCCAGGGACGGTGGCGAGCGCGCTCGCGGCGGAATTCGCCCTCTGGAGGCCAACCGTCCGCCCCTCCGCCGTCACCCCGGCTGGGGGCCAGGGGCCGGGGAAAAGCGAGAAGGGATTTAAGTTACTTTTAGATTTCCTTCCGAACCAACGTGGTTTCCCTGCCGATGGGGCTATCAGCCTTTTGTCTACACTTGGTCACCGAGAAATGAGAGCAGAGCACTTTCCATGAGTCCAGAATTCGCAGTTCCTGCTTCGGGGTGGGTTTTTTTTTTTTTTCTTTTCTTTTCTTTCTTCTTTTTTTTTTTTTTTAAGGCAATGCAAAATTAAACTGCAACCGGAACGTTTTTTAAAGTTACTTTTCTGTTAAGAAAAAAAAAAGTTAAAATAAAAATAAAAATGCCTCCTCTGCTCTCCTAGAAGGAGCAGCCTCCAAGGGCCCCCGGTTTTGGGGCCCCCTCGGGAGTTCTGGGGAACGCAGATCTGAGCTCCCCGGTGGGGGCTGGGCGGCGGGCGCTCCTCGCCCGGCCCCACATTCCAGCGCCTCCCCCGCGGGTTCCTGGACGGCTCTGTCTCCACGCCCGGCGGCCGGGCTTGCACTTTTGCGCCCGTCCCTGAGCGGGGAGCTCAACGGAGTTCCTTGTTGAGATCTGCCTGGTCCGCCTAGTAACAGCGCCGCACCCCCATTGGCTCATGCTAATTCCAGTTTCCTCTGCCTCGCTCCCGGGTGGGGGGGGTGGCGGGGAGGTGGGGGGGCGCTCCCTCCAGGATCGGGAGCCCATTTTGCCGGAGTGGGCGAACCTCTGTATGGCCCGCCGCCCTGGCCGTCGCTGACCCGCCTCGGGCGGGCCAGGGGGGGTGCCCGCGGGGCTCGGACCCCGGGACCCCAGGACGGGAGCCGCCCGGAGATAGCGCGCAGCCTCATAAATCACCCGGGCGGCCACCGGGGCGGAATTTTATGAATGAAAAGCAGCCCGGCCGCCCTCGTGCGCGGGCGGATGCTGCGAGGCTCACGGGCACCCCGCGCCAACGCGGGCGTGGGTGCCGCTGGAGGGCGACGCGCGGTGGGCGCTCCCCGCCCGGCCACCCACGGCTGCCGCGGCGTGAGCCCGGGGATCATGACCGTCCTGGACCCCGACTATTTGGGACCCTAAATCCCGGCGGGGGGAGGGGAACGCCGGACGAATCGGCCCCGAAAGAGGGGGTGTCTTGCCTTGGTGCGTGCCCCCTTGCGAAGGGAGGGTCCTCTTTTTCTTTTTTTTTTGTCCTTTTTCTTTGAGGCTTGACTGTTTTGGGGATACAGTGGTTTGATGACACAGGGAAATAAATGAACAGTTTTCTTAATTTGGGGCAGGTAATATGTAAAACCTTTTTTTTTAATGTTAAGATTTGGTAAAATGTCCCTATGGTTAAAAAAAAACAAAAAAAAACCATAAAGACGGAATCTAACAATAAAGCACTTTATGTATTCTTTTATATATCTTAAATTTTGTGATCATATTGAGGACCCTCTCCTGTAACCACGAACATGTAATAGATTTTTTTTTGTTAAAAAACCATCAGGTCAGTACACCCATTTCTTTAACTTATAATTGTTCTTATTTTTTGTTGGCCCCTGCCACCCCCTTGGGGCTCCCGAATGCAGTCCCAGCGCAAATGATGGTGAAAAGGCGTTCACCCCCCCCGCCCCCTCCCCCCCCAAAAAAACAGAACCAATTAGGGAGCTTCCGGTGGTCTTGTCCCAGACAGAGAAGCGACCGATATTTCCAGGGATTTATTTTACTTCTTCATTTTAAAATGAGGCGGACAGAGATCCCTGCTTTGCTGCCTTCTATAAAGGGTGTTTTTCTAACAGTTAAATTGCCGGGTTGGGTGGGTTGGGTTTTGGGGACCCCCACAAGGGCGGACGTGGCCCAGGTAGGGAGACAGCCCGCGGATCCCCCAGGCGAGGACGACAGGATGAGGGAAATGCTGGCCACCATCTTGGGCTGCTGCTGGAATTTTCGGGCATTTATTTTATTTTATTTTTCTCGAGCGAGCGCACGCTAGGCTGAAATCTCTTAAACGTTCAGTGTCCCGTCCCCCCCCACCCCCCGGCACATGCAACGACCTCCTCCGCCCCCCGTGCACCGGAATGAAGCCTGCAGCAAGTTTGCGGGGCTCTCTGCCGAGTGTCCCTGCATGTTAAATGGTTCCTGAAACCTACACGTGTTAATGAAAATGAAAGGAGATGCGGGCGCTGAGATTCCTCGGCCGCCGCTCCGCCCGTGGGTGCCTCGTGGCGCTCTCGGAAGCGCGCCCATTCTCCCGGCTCCCATAACAGGGTGTCGCCGAGCCCCAGAAGCCCCCTTCCACGTGGTCTTCCCCCTCCCCCCGCCCCGGGCTGCGTGTGGCCCGCCCGCCCCTCCTAGCTGTCCCCCTCTGCAGAACCACCTCCACCCCACCCCACCCCCAAAAATCCCAGGGGGCCCATTCCGGGAGAACAGCCCCCCCCCCTTGCACCCCTCTTCCACGGCGACGGGGAGAAAGTCTGCCCCGGGGCGATTTGCATTTCTATGAAAACCGGGCTTGGGGGCCACTGGGCTGCGGGACTCAGCCCCTCGCCGCTCCCCCGCGCTCCGCGCCCGCGCCCGCGCCCCCTCCCCCTGAGCCCGCCCCCGCCCCCTCCCTCCCATTCTCCGCGCGGCTTTGATCTCGGAACAACAGTAACGTCACACCGGCTATAGGGGAGTTTTGTTGGAAGTTGCAAAGTCCTGGAGCCTCCAGAGGGCTGTCGGCGCAGCAGCAGCGAGCAGCAGCATCCGCGCGCTCCGGCGGCGAAGGGCAGAGAAGCTCGCAGGAGGCAGGAGCGCGGCGCGCGGGAGCTCGGAGCCGAGCGCACAGCGACCCCCCGACCCACCGCCCGCCCCAGGCCACCCCGGCGAGCCCCAGCCATGGCACACCAGCTCCTGTGCTGCGAGGTGGACACCATCCGCCGCGCGTACCCCGATGCCAACCTCCTCAACGACCGGGTGCTGCGGGCCATGCTCAAGGCGGAGGAGGCGTGCGCGCCCTCCGTGTCCTACTTCAAGTGCGTGCAGAAGGAGATCCTGCCGGCCATGCGGAAGGTCGTGGCCACCTGGATGCTGGAGGTGCGGACCGGGGCGGTTCTCCTGAGACCCCCGCAGCCTGTCGCCCACACTCACGTCTCTTGGCCCCTCTCCTCCCACTCCAACTTTGAAGTTTGCCGGGGCTGCTGCTAGGAATCCTATTTTCAGAATGTAGAGATGTTGCGGGCATTTTTTTTTTTTAACTAGGAAGGCGAGGGGGCGTTAGAAATACCCTTTCCTGGGGGGAGGGGAGCGGCCGGCGAAGGGTCCCCTGGGGAAAGCCTGTGCCAGGCGCACCCCAGTTGGCCAGAGGGTGCGGGCGGGGGGCAGGTTGGGCGCCCTTGGTGGCCCCGCTGCGCCTCCTCTCCCGGCCGCGCGGAGCCGCCAGCTTCGTGGGGAGAGGGGCGCGTATTTGATTTTTTTAAATGAATATTCTGGGACACGTATGCAAGGGCCGCCCGTGCCAGTATTATGCGCCATCTTTGTTCTTTTATTGCAAAGCTAAAAGTTTATTAATAATTGGGGGCGGGATGGGGGAGGGGGACAGCCGGCCAGGCGCTGGGGCCGCGGCTAGGGGCCCTGCGGTAGCCGAAAACTGGTGGGAGGGGTGCGGGGACCGAGCGCGGGTATGGTGGGGGGGGACCCCACTCGGGAAGGGGGGGCTCTTTGTTCAAGCAGCAAGTCCCGGGGTGCGCTACACGGCCAGCCTGGGCCAGCGAGCACACCGGACTGCAAGGTCGCGTGGCCCCCAAGACTCTGCGGACTGACCCTCGTCTGCAGGGGTCTCCGCTTGGGGGATCTGTCTGGAGCGAGCCAGAGGCTCGGGTCACATTTTCAGACTTTGAGGAACCCACAAGTATTAAAAAAAAAAAAAAAAATTTTTTTAAGTGCAGCGTGGTGCCCTTGCGCGAGAGAGAAGCGGTGCCCGCGCCCAGGGAGGGGGGGGTGCCTGGTTTTGAATTCCTGGCGATCTCCCCGGAGCCTGCAACGAGCTCCCGACCCCTGGCTCGGGTAGAGGGCCGCCCCGGGGTCATTTTCAGGTATTTTTTATGCACCCAGGTATTTTTTTTATATTTTTAAATATTTTTTGAAAAGATGACGTCTGGGGAAATGCGGCGCGGCAGCCTGGGACGCCACCTTTGTGTCTCGCAGGCGCTGCGAGCGTGGCGCCCAGCCCCCCCTCCCCACACCCCATCGGATGCGACCCTGGCCTGGGCGGGGCCCCCAGCACCCACCGGAGCCAGGGTCCCCGGGGCCGGCCGCCCGCACACCGCGCACGCCGCCCCGCCGTGCCCGCTCCTGCCGGGCCGGGCTTCCAAGGACTTTCCCTTTCAGTTTCATTCAGTCGCTGGGTGTCGGGGACACTCGGGGGAGGAGGCAGCGCATCAACGGGAGCGTCTGCCGCCCCCTCCCCGGCCCTCCGTGCGCCCGGAAACCCACGAGGCGGGTGGGGGTCTCGGGGTCCAGCACGGGGTCCCTGGGGCGCCGGCAATGACAGTCCCTACTTTCCAGCAGGTCTGCGAGGAGCAGAAGTGCGAGGAGGAGGTGTTCCCGCTGGCCATGAACTACCTGGACCGCTTCCTGTCGCTGGAGCCCCTGCCCAAGGGCCGCCTGCAGCTGCTGGGCGCCGCCTGCATGTTCGTGGCCTCGAAGATGAAGGAGACCGTCCCCCTGACGGCGGAGAAGCTGTGCATCTACACTGACCACTCCATCCAGCCCGAGGAGCTGCTGGTAACCCCGACTCCCCGCTAGCCACAGGACCCCGGGGGGGGGGGAGGACGGGAGACCCTGCTACCCCGAACCCCGCGGCCCCCCCATCCTGTGCCCCCCCCTTCATTTTTTCTTCGACTCCCCACGCGGCTGAATCCCTAGCGCGGCCCAAAAATGGGCGGCGTGCGCCCTCTAGCGGCCACGGCGTGGGCAGCGCGCGCTAAGGACACGGTCTTGCGTGCGTTCCTGGTGCGGGAGATCTTTTTTGTCGCCACGTGTGAACTGTCATCTGAATAATAATCAGCAGGAGCCTTTTCACGCGTCACATTCGCTTTTTTTTTTTTTTTTAAACCAGGGATTGCATACTGTCCCCCATGTCCTGGATCCCCAGATGCCCATCACTTCTCTCCAAAACCCTGGTCCCACTCCCTCCCCCTCCCCCCATCACCTCCCGGGAAGTCTCCCTGCACTTTTCATGTTTGGTCACCCGTTTCCACAGCAAATGGAGATGGTGCTGGTGAACAAGCTCAAGTGGAACCTGGCGGCCATGACCCCCCACGATTTCATTGAGCATTTCCTCTCCAAGATGCCGGTGGCTGAGGTCAACAAGCAGATCATCCGCAAACACGCGCAGACCTTTGTCGCCCTGTGTGCCACAGGTAGGCTGGCTGGCTGGCCGGCCTGATCTCCCTGGGTGCTCCCGGCGGGCTTCTTGCCATCTGCCTCCGTTTCCCCACCAGGCCCCTTCTGTTCTCAGAAGTGCTCCTCTTCCCCTGTTTTGTTGAGCAGAGGGCTTGGGCTGTAGGTGAGCCTGGTGGGGGGAAGGGGTTGTCCTCCCGGGGCTGAGTGGCTGTCTGCCTGTGTCCAGCTGCCTTGGTTTCTGCTCCCTCCCTTTCTTCCTCTCCCTTCCCCCCTCCTGCTTCTCCCCCTCTCTCTCCAGTCCTTTCCTATGTCCTCAAGGAGTCTGCGCTGGGGCCCCCTTCTGGCCTCTCCCAAGTTGGGCCACCTGCCAGGGGCGCCTACAGGGGTGGGGAGCCCGGCCGGCCGCCAGCGCCTGCACCACGTGCTCCGGGCAGCCAGCTCAGCCCGCCCTGAGGCCCTATTAGGGGGGCCTTAGCCGAGCCTGGGAGGAGCTTTGGAGCAGCCTGCTGCTGTGGTTGACGGCAGGGGGCAACATTCCCTGCCCGGGCCCCAGATCCCAGCCACAGCCAGCCTTGCAAAACCGAGGGTGGGGACACACAGACACACACAGTGCTGCCTCCAGCTTCCCCCAGCCCCGATCCTGACACACACACACACACACACACACACACACACACACACACACCATGACTGCTTTCTGTTCTCCCTGGAGACCCTGACTATAGGACGCAGGCCCCATCCCACGCCAGACGTCACATCTCTTTGGGACTTACGCTGAGGGCCACACTTCATCAGAGGGGGAGGCTGGTCTCTGCGGTCTTCCCCACCCCCCAACCTGGCAACTCCTTGCACCCTCCTGATTCCCGGGCGCCCTGGTGGCTGGTATTTCTGGGTTAGGCAAGAGCTGGGAAGATTCCGCAGGTCTCCACCCCCCTCCGAGTCCTTCCAAGTGAGGCATGGGGGCCCAGGAGGAGAAGCCAAGCACACTGCTGGCCGGGACGGCCCCGCCTGGGCGCCCCTTCCCCAGGCCTCCCGCTCTGGCCCTCAGGCAGGGGTGGGGAGCCTCTGGGAGGGGCCTCCGGAGACTCCCAGACAGCCTTTTATGGAGCTGAAAGTTGTTTGGAAAAATAGCAAGTTTCCTGGAGATCACACAAGGAGTGGTTCTTGCACACCCTCCCCCCAGGGTAGCTGGGGCCGCCTGGAGCTCCCCCCCTCCCCAGATCCGCGGACCGAGGGGGGGAGTGGCCTGCGGGCGCTGGCAGTGAGGGAAGCAACCCTGGCACACAGTCTGCAAACTGGCTCTGGTCCAGCTCCCAAGCTGCCCACGCGGGGCCCAGCAGGCCCCCCGGCCTTCTGCTCAGATGCCTGCGGGGACCCGGTCGCTGCAAACGTTAACTCCAGGGCGGGGCCCCAGAGGGAGCAGCCACCAGCCGGGCCCTCGGAAGATGCTCAGGCCCTGGTCCTGACTGTGCCCCCACAGTTTGGGGGTGACTGAGATGCAGTCGTGCCCTTGGTCACAAAGGGGCCTCTCAGAAAGGGAGTGACGTCATTGAGCTCAAAAACCAACAGGTTATGTGAGGTGGGCGAGAGCAAGGACCCCCTGTAAGGCGCCATGGGGGAGGGGGGGGGACTCTGCTCTCCCTACACCCGGAGACCGGGATTCCCGAGTCCCTGCACGTGTGCACACACCACATCGCCTGGCTCTGCCAAACGTGTACGTGCATGTACACTGGAGCCTTCCCCCCTTCCCTTTTTTTTTTTTTTTTTTTCTTTGTGGTTAGTCTTCACCCGAGGATAATTTTCCATTGATTTTTAGAGAGAGTGGAAGGGAGAGGGAGAGACAGAGAAACATCGGTGTGGAAGAGACACCTCGATTGGTTGCCTCCTACACTCTGACCAGGGCCGTGGAACCTGCAACCAGGGTACATGCCCTTGACCGGAATCGACCTACTGAGGAAGAAATCACTAAGAAATTATTTAAAAAAATAATAGTGATATGAAAAAAATAGCAACGTTTCAAAACATAGAATAGAACTGAAATGCATAACCATGTCACAAGATATGTTTATATGCTGTACACGAGGCCCCTAGAACATAGGAAATGCCAAAGATTCACTGTGAGTAACTCCTTCTCCAGCCGCCCCTGTGGGGCGTGTGCCCCGCGCTGGGCACCGCCGTTCTGGAGGGTGGCAGGCCTCCATCCCTGAGAGGCGGCGCCTCTGCTCCTGGTGGGCTCTGTACCTTTCACTTGTGCAAACGGGCTCTGTGTTCACAAGGCTCGTGTGGAAAGGACCAGATGGGGGTGTTTGCTGTCACAGGGTGCCCTGGCCGGGCCTCTGCTGGCTGTTAAGACGGTGGCACTGGCCAGGGCTGCTTCCCGCCTTCGTTAGTGAGTGAAGGCACCAGCTCCCGCCTTAGGCACCTCCGGGCCTCCTCTGCAGGGACGCCCACATTTCCTCAGCCAGGCCCCTCGAGTGAACCCCCAGGCAGCTGTTTGCTGGGACAGGCCCTGGGCAAGGGCACAGGTCACAGGGATCCTGCAGCGTCCCCACGCCCCGCCCCTCGCCTTTCCCTCTGCTGCAGACGTGAAGTTCATTTCCAACCCGCCCTCCATGGTGGCTGCCGGGAGCGTGGTGGCCGCAGTGCAAGGCCTGCACCTGGGAAGCTCCAACAGCTTCCTGTCCTATCACCGCCTCACGCGATTCCTCTCCACACTGATCAAGTGTGACCTGGTAAGTGACCGGGCACCCCTCCCGCTCGGGCAGGGGCAGACCTGCTGGTCTCGGGGAGGAGATGCCCAGCGCTGGGTGCTGCAGCCACAGTTGGCTCCAGGGGGATGCTCTGACTAGTGCCGAGGCCCCCGAAGATGGGCGGGAGGCACAGGACCAGTCTCAGGCGGACAGTGCCAGCTTCACCCGCCTCTCCCCGGGGGCTCCTGTGAAAGAAGCATCTCCCAGAACTCGCAGACGGGCCCTCAGGGGCCACTGAGGCCTGGGAAAGGGGCCGCCGGCAGTGGCGCACGCCCTCACGGGTGTGCAGTGGGCCCGGGCGAGCTTTGTCCGGCCACAGTGGGGTCTGAGGTCGTGACCGTGGGCGCCGGGAGCTGCCGCTGCAGTCAGAGTCAGAGGCGGCGGTGCTGTCTTTAAAAATGCCATTGTTTCGTCCCCACTTCATTGCTCTCCTTAAGGAATTAAAATAACAATGACAAGGGTTTATGGGCATTTACCAAATTAGACCAGGGCGGTTTGGTGGGAGTGAGTGACCACCTTGACCCCGGTCCAGGTCACTAGGCTGTCCCCAGAGGACCGTTCTTGTCTATAGAGGGGGACTCCCCTCTGCCTCAGGCTCACTTCACTCTCCAGTAGCCAAGTTTCGGGGGGGGGAGGGGGAGGGAGGAGCCTGCTCACTAGAAATGCCACTGACCAATAGGGCGGGCGGGGAAACGGTTGAGGCTAAAATGTGTCAGTCTGGTTACCCAGTGACAGGCATTGCTCAACCCCGGGGGGTGAGGGGGGTGAAGCCCACCTGGGTTGCCCGCCTTTCTCCAAAGCTGGGCCTCAGGGACCAAAGTCAGCCCATCACAGGACGGGGCTGAGGTCCGGGTGGGCACCGCACAAGGCCAGGGCACCTCCAGGATGCAGGCCGAACAGTATAAGGAGCCCCAGGCCACCCAAGTCATTCGCAGTCAAGCACGGCTTAATGCCTCTAATGGCTGTTCGCCACAGGAGAGGTTAAGTCCAAAAAGCAGGGCTCAGAGGGCCTCCCTGCCCCGGATGGAATGGCTGGATTCACCCCCGACAGTGGCGGGGACAGTGGGAACGGCGGGACCAGAGACCAGGGCCCAGCAGAGGGGTTCCAGCGAGAGGCCGGGCCCTGCTGCTGGGGACACAGGGACAGGCGGGGGAGGGGAGGGGCGTGGGACAGCCCTGTGGTCCTCAGTCCTGAGTGGGGCCATCACTGTCCAGCTGGCATGTGGGCTCCTCAGGCTGGCAGCCCATGAGGGTCGGTCCTGGGGTTTGGGGGACCAGCTCTGGGAGGGGGGGAGGGGGCTGCGGGAGGTAGCAACTTCAGGTCAGCCTCTCTGCTATGCTAATCACCATCAGGGTCATGGTGTTTGGGGGCTGGGCCTTTCCTGTGGGCCTCCTTCTGAGGCCCTGTCCCCCTGCCGCCTGCCCCCTAGGACTGCCTCCGGGCCTGCCAGGAGCAGATCGAAGCCCTGCTGGAGGCCAGCCTGCGCCAGGCCAAGCAGAGCCTGGGCCCCAAGGAGGAGGAGGAGGAGGCGGACCTGGCCTGCACACCCACCGACGTGCGCGATGTGAACATCTGAGGGGCTGGCGGAGGGAGGGCCGCCCTGGGGCTCCCCTGCTGGACGCGCCCCTTCCGGATGGCCGCGCCAGAAGGGAAAACTTTTCCCTGGTTTTTTTTTTTTTTTTCCCCCTTTGCTCTTTCTCCTCTCTATCTCTGAGTTAAGCAAGAGAAAAAAGAAAGTACCCAAAACTGTCTTTTAAAAAAAAAGAAAAGTAGTAGTTGCATAACCCCAAGCTCTCTTTGGGGAGGAGGGTTGTGCTACAAACATAGAGGACGTTCCGGCCCATAATCGACTTAGTTGCGTAGGACTGTGTGTGTCTGCGTGGTAAGGGTAGGTTTTAACACAAGGAGGGAGTCTGCAGGGGGGCTCAGATGTGATTGATGTGTTTAAAGCATAAAAATGTTCTAAAAAAAAAATGCAACAAACCATTGTTAGAGGAGGGATATTTTAGATAGAAAGATGTATTCTTGAGCACAGCTTTAAGGCGCTGTAGGCATCCCGTATCCCGCTTGCTCATGCATGTAGTCACTTTATAAGTCATTGGTGCGTGTTTATTCCGTAGGTAGGCGTGTAACCTCTTCACCTTGTCCACGGCTGACGTAACCTGTCGGGTAGAATAGTGTCGCCGAGCTTCACCGAGTGCTAATCCTCTCCCTTCCCCGTGGACCGGCCACCTGAGCGGGTTGTTGGGCACCGGCCAGCGCGCACGCTCTTAAGAGAGAAGCCGAAGTAGCAGCGTCACAGATTCTATTTTTTTAATCCTCGTATTTTTGTAGTTCACTGTTTGAGGAGACGCTGCCGGCCACCAGGCCTGCAGCCTGCTCAGATCCAGGTGGAACCCACCGCTTGTTTCGTCTCCTTCTCAATGTTCTGAAACCCATTCCATTTCAAAGCACTTTGGGTCCAGCAGTTCTAGGGAAGGTCTCTTGTTCGTGGGTGGAGAAGGGGGGTGGTTCCCAGTGGAATGGTTGGGATCGCTAGGTCGCCACGGCGTCCGCCAGGGGGTGTTGTGGAAGGCAAGGGTCCAGCCAAGGAGAGGGTGTGCGTTCTCCCAGGATGCCACGTTCCTTTTCCCCGTAGAGAGAGGTTCAAGGGTAGGAATCCTTTGGTGCCAACTGGCGTTCGAAGGTAGGGAGCCTGAAAGGCTTGCCTAAAGGACGTGCAGTGTAAGGGTTAGGGAGGTTTTTAAACACTAAAATATGTAATTTATAGTTAAGGCTAAAAGGAGTATTTATTGCAGAGGATGTCCGTAAGGCCAGTATGATTTCTCGAGTGATGCACTCTCCCCTGATTCAAACACACAGCCCGCTGCCTTTCCGGGACGGGCTTGATACCGCTTAGAGAAGGGGGCAATTCCCCAGGAAGAAAAAAAAAAAACAAACAAAAACGTTGATCCAGCCTGAACCAATCTGAGAGGCATCAGGCCCAGGAGAGTTAGGGTCCCCGAATCAAGCTGTTTCAGCGTAGTCCCATGCCCACCCCTCTTTTCAAGAAATGGTAGCAACCGGTAGACAATGCACATCTTGGCTGTGGACCTGGGAGCAATGACTAAGTGGGGAGTGCGGAGGGAGGAGGCGAGGGCGCCCGGCCCGGTGCCGGGAGAGGATGTGAGGGCGGAAGTGCGGGAGGGAGGGGGGGGCGGGTGGGACCACGGAGGGACAGGCTGCGCACCCCGTTTCTTATTCGCTGCTATGGATGACTTCCCGGCGTGTTCGGAAACAGACTCACCACGCTTCTCTGTCTCTCTCACATTGTTTTGCTGCTGCTATCGGAGGATCAGTTTTTCTGTTTTATGATGTCATATTACTGCCATGTTCGAGTTTTAATTTCCTCATAGAAAAAAAAAAATGTATTACGGATGCCTTTTTTTGTGTGTGTAGTTTTTTTTTTTTTTTTTTTTTTTTTTTAATGTGATCAATTTTGATGTAATGTGATTACTGCTCTATTCCAAAAAGGTCCCCGTTCCACGATACCTCATGCTTCACTTAGCCATGTGTAGACCGGCGGTCCGGCCCCCATCTGGCCCGAGGCCTCCTGCTTCGGCAGACAGACACTCGGCCGAGATCCCCGACGGGCCTGGTGGGGACGGGCGCCGGGTTGCATGCGGGCGGCCACCCGGTGTCTGAGGACCAGCCAGTGTCCGTGTCCACGTCCTTCCCTGTGCCTGTCGTGCTGGACGCTCCATCTGCCCTAGCATTGACCATCCTAGTAGCTTTGATGGCTGTGTTGTTTTGCATATAGCTATGAAACCTGCATTTATTATTATTATTATTATTGTTGTTGTTGTTGTTGTTGTAACAAGTCTGTCTTGTGTGCCGTGGTGGTGCTGTGCCCTGGACTGGCCCCGGCCTCCGAGTCGCTGATTCCGGTCTCTGGAAGCTGTCGCGTCCCCGCGCTCTCTGTACTTTTCAGGGCCAACTCTAAAGAGGCTGCAGATCTCGCCAAAGCCAGCCCGTGTGTTGCCGTGTGCCCGCGCTGCCGAACCAAAAGAACGTGCGCCCTCGGCGGCCCTGCCCGGAGGGATGGCCGTGAGCTGTGAGGCCCGCTTCCCTCACCTCTCCTGGCTGCAGCCTCTGTCTCTGAACCAAACCGGGTCCCTGAGGTCGGGAGCACCATGGAGCCTGTGAGGGTCTGGCGGGTGGGCACCTGGTCTGTGTGTGTGGTTTTCGGTTGCACGTGGCGGTGTTTCCCAGCATGGACATGTAACCAGCACGTTTCCGGCGGAAAACAAGACAAACATGAAAAGTCTAGAAATAAAGTTAGTGAAAACCCCAGGGTGGTGTCTGTTTCCTGGGGCAGCGGGGAGCCAGGGGCACGGAGCCTGGGCACAGGGTTCCTGGGGCTGGGGGTGGCAGGCAGGCAGGATGCCCGGTCCTCCGTTGGGGCAGGGAGGGGGGCTGTCCTGAGCAGTGTGGTGTGTAGCTGCATCCTTCACCTCTACCCACCGATGATGGCACTTCCAGAAATGTCTGACGTTGCCAGCTGTCACCGGTGATCCAGGAACGGGTGAAGCGCTCACAGCGCGGGGGGGCGGGCACTTGGGCCCCGAGAAGACTTTGGGGAAGCCATTGCTTCTGGCCCAGCGACATGACTTGCCTGGTGAGCCTGCAGTTCGCCCTCCCAGGCTGCCTGCAGATGGGAGAAAAAACGGATCCAGCCTTTGCTACCCCTCCCCTGGAGCAAATGGCTGCTTGCTCCGAGTCATGGTCCCGAGGCCCCAGGCTCCTGGAGAGCACAACATGTGTCCAGGCTGCGTTCTGGTGCCCGTTCACACAGCCTGTCGATGGGGAGGCCTGGTGGACACCTGTGGCCGCTATCTGGGTTTCGGCGCCCTGGGCAGGTGTCCGCAGGCCTGGGTCCCAGCTTCCCAGAGGGGGGTCCCCGGTGTGTCCTTGCCCCGGGGCTGTCAGATAATTCAGGGAGTGCTCCAGCCCAGGATACCTGTCAAAGGATGTCACTACTTGTCAACTCGCTGTGGCCTTTGAGCCTTGCCCAGCAGGGCTCTCCTCCAGGGCACCCGTGAGGCTGGCAGGGCACTGGGACCTTCTGGGAGGAGGTGGGAAGGGACATGAGGCGAGGCTGCCTCAGGAGCCTGTAGGGTGCTCCAGAGGGGATCCCAGGTGGCAGGGGACCAAGGGACAGTCAAATCCAGAGAAGGCGCCTTGAAGGCCAGGCCTGGTCCACACCATCGTGGCGGCTCAGCCCGGGACGAGCTAGGCGTGTCGGTGCAGGGGGCCCGGGGACATCTGCGGCCTCCACATGTGTACAGGGGGCTGAGCAGAGGCTGCGGCACCACCAGGGCCCGGGTCATGTTGAGGAGCAGTCCTGGGGGAGGGGCAACAGTCTGAGTGTTGAGTTCCAGAAAGAACAGGGAGTGGGAGAGGGAGAGCGCCCTGCCCTGTGCAGGAAGAAAAGCGGGGTAGGGTGGGGGGAGAATGCCTGGGGCTGGGCTGTGACGCGTGGCAGTCAGTATCCCTGTGCAGATGGTGGGTGAGGGCTGCCTGGTGGACAGAGTGGAAAGCAGAGCCATGCCAGGACCGGTTTGGCTCTGTGGATAGAGCGTCAGCCTGCGGACTGAAGGGTCCCAGGTTCGATTCCGGTCAAGGGCATGTACCTTGGTTGCGGGCACATCCCCAGTAGGGGGTGTGCAAGAGGCAGCTGGTCGATGTTTCTCTCTCATCGACATTTCTAACTCTCTGTCCCTCTCAATTCTTCTCTGTGTAAAATCAATAAAATATATTTTTTTAAAAAAAGAAAAAAAAAAGAAAGCAGAGCCATGATCCGGACATAGTCCCCGACGTTCTGCACCACTAAAAGCACAGAGGTCTGGGCCGAGCAAGGGGGGTCCCATGTCCCCCATGGCCCTGGCTCCTCTGGGAAGCCCCCAGGGGAAGGGTCTAGAAGGCTCTGACCTCTCAAGCCACCCACGGCCCCTCGGGTGCCTGCGCACACTCAGAGATGGCAGTGAAGGCCCGTGCCTACGGCGAAAATAAAAACTGAACTGTTAGGGGCTTCACTGCCCCTGCTGCGGCCCACTGCCCTCACCTGGGCCTGCCCGGCCCCCACCCCAGCTCTGCGCCTCAGGCGGCCATGCCACCCTCGGCTCACTCCTGGGGCTGCTGGCTCCTCTGGCTCCATCCAAGATCCTGACACCTGGCCCTCCTCCCCGCTTACTCCCCATCTCACCCCTCCTCCATCTCCCCTAGCCTGTTTCCGCCCCTCCCCCCTCCCCCCGGGCTCCTGCCAGACCCCCACCACCACGTGTGCCCGGGGACAGGCGTCCTGCTGATGCTCTCTGCCCCAAAGCCAGCCTGGCAAACACAGTGGGTGCTGAGAAGTGGGAGCTGAGAAGTGGGAGCCGAATGGAAGGGGCGGGAGTGTTCCCACAGGTCACCCAGATGCTCTGAGTCAGAGAAAGAGGCCTCCCTGCCTGACCCAGCTGGCGGGGGGATGGGGGAAGGATAGACCCAGCCTTGTGAGGAGGTGGGGGCAGGGGCCCAGCAGAACCAGAAGGCCCCAGAGCCCAGCAGAGCTACGAGATAAGGACAGACAGTTCCTTGCTGGGGCCACGGAGGGGGAGAGGTGGGGCCCCAGAGCAGGCAGCCCCAGCTGAGATCACAGAGTGAGGCCCTGGGGGCGGTGCAGCGCCGCCGTGCTCCCCACACCCCTCAGCCCATCCTGCAGGCCATCCATCCCGGCGGCGGCAGCAGCGGGCTCTGCTGCGTGGGGGCCCCGCTCGCTGGGCAGCCTCTAAGCACACAGGCCTCTGTCATCCCAGGAATGCCTTTGATCAGGTTTACACTGAGGGGAAGCAGAGCAGGGCCTCTAATCCGTTCCCACAGTCCCCGCGCTGGCCCCCAGCCCTGAGCCACACCAGGGCCCAGCACACAATAGCCAGGGGGCGGGGGGCGGGCAGCTCCGGGCTCGGGCCTTGAAGCCCACATCCGGGGGCACGGTCCCGCCGCTCTGGAGGAGGGTGGGGAAGAGAACTCTGCAGCCCTCCACCCTCGCTGCTGCTGCTGCTGCGGTCGGCCCTGAGCATTTCAAAGACCACAGCCACCATGAATCCTTTTCAGCCTTTTCCATCTCGGCGAAAGCAGCTGGAACGAGTCTCCACTGCAGGCTGCTGAAGGCCCAATGCTCTGACCCCGGGACCCCCACGCTGAAGCGGGCCGTCCCCGTGTGTGAGGGCCCATGCCTCCCCGGCTTCCATCGCGAGAAGAGAACTGCTCACGTTCACTGAGCACAGGCTGGCACCAGGCACACGTTAACTGTCCATTGTCAGGTTTCTCCCTAAATCTTGGAACAACCCTTCAGGGTAGGCAGCAGCCAAGGGCATGCCAGTGAGTGGGCCCTTGGGAGCCCACCTTCCCCCAGGTGTAATTCTCCCCTTTTCCAGGTCAAGGGCCAGCAGACTGGCCACCTGGTCTCCGTCCAACCTCAGCCGCTGAGCAGAAGCACCGCAAGCGACGGCACACGAAGGAGCATGGCTGCGGCCAGGCGAGCCTTCTCCGCCGAACGGGCAGCGGGCTGAGGATGGGCTGAGGATGGGCTGAGGGTGTTGGCTTTCTGGTCCCTGTTGTAGATGAGAGGCGAGGTCACAGAGCCAGGGTCCCACGGCCAGGAACTGCGCCCGGGGCCAGGGCGGTCTCGAGAGCATGCCCTCCTGTCAGCCCTTGGCTCCTCAGAGAAGAAAGGGCACACGGTCCTCAAAAGTGGGCTTGAAAACGCACAAAGCCTGCATCTGACTCCACCCAAGGCCGCGCGCACCGCAGCCAGGCAGAGAAAGGGGCCTGGGCGGTGTCCCGGGGCTGCCGGAGCTGATGCCCACAGACTAGGGGGCTTCCAGCAGCAGCAGTTCTCACAGGGTGAATGTCTGACACCAAGGTGTCAGGCTCCTGCTCCCCCCCCCCCCAGCTCCGGTGGCTGCGGGCACTCTCCCCCAGTCCCTGGCTCATAGCTCATTGCTCTGGTCATGGCCTCCGTGTCCTCATGGCCATCCTTCCTCTGTGTGTCTGTCTTCGCGGAGCTGGGGAACGAGGGAGTGGGAAGAGGGCAGGGTCGGCTTCCTGGAGGAGGTGACCATTGCACAACTATTTTATGGGTTTTCACGCGATCTCAGCATGACCCTCAAAACACCACTGTAATTTATTTATTTTTATTTTTTTTAAATATATTTTTATTGATTTTGTACAGAGAGGAAGGGAGAGAGATAGAGAGTTAGAAACATCGATGAGAGAGAGTCATCGATCAGCTGCCTCTTGCACACTCCCCACTGGGGATATGCCCGCAACCGAGGCACATGCCCTTGACCGGAATCGAACCCGGGACCCTTAAGTCCCCAAGCCGACGCTCTATCCATTAAGCCAAACCGGACTCGGCAAAACACCACTGTAATTTAGAGATATCAAAAACTATGATTAACAAGCCAGTGATTGATCCCAATTCCCAGTCATTCAGGCCCTTGATGAATGAAGGGAGGAATTGGCTTGCGATCTGGGGGGGGGGGATGAGTCACGGAGCCGGTGTCCTTGATCACAGGACCCGAGAGGCCAGAAGAGGGGCGTGCTGACCCCTGACCGGCAGCAAGGCTTCCTAGAAACTCGGTCTGGCTCTCCAAGGCGCTGGGCGGGCACAGCCCAGTGCAGTGTCTGGAGACCCTGAGGATCACTGAGGCAGCCCAGCCCTGCGTGATGGGAACAGAGGAGTAAGTGGCTGCCCACACTCACACTGACACCCGGATGGGACAGGCTGAGCCTGAGACGGGGAGGGAGAGGGACGTGTGGGCAGGAGGGGTCAGTAGTAACTGCTGACAGGCGGCTGGACCGGGGCAAGGGGAACTGACCTAAGCATCATGGGTACCATTCAGTTTCTGCACGTGCCGGGAAACAGGTGGACAGAACACCGCACGGGGCTGACGCTGCTCCTTCCTCTGCATCCAGATCCCAGGACCCCAGGAAGGGACTGGCTGGATGTCGAGTTATAAATAGTCCCAGACGGCCTTTTGCTTTAAAACACCGTTTATTTTTTTTTTTCTCCAGTTGTAAAAATAATACATTATAAAAGCAGGTAACAGAAGATACAAAATCCACCAAGGAAAGCAGCAGAAACTGACTCCCACCACCGGGAGAGCCTGGTGGGGTGTGCGCCCCAAGGACCAGCAGAAAGCAGTGCCAGGGCAGCACTCAGGTCTGCCTCCCCCTCTCAGCACTCAGCAAGGGACTCCCAGCCCGATCCCCACGCCCAGCAGGAGGGTTCGCAAGATGCCGTGGACGGTCTGTAAGACTGGGTCACCTTTTTATTCGCGGGACTCCCTGCTTTCAGAGGCACTCCCTCCAACAGGGGCAGATGGGAGCCAGCATGCCATCCCCCTGGGCACGTGGCGGGGAGGGGAAACGCACGAGCAAAGAGAAATGTGGAGGACCACTCAGCTCAGGGAGGGCTGGCCGGGCCTCTCCCTGCGCATACCCTCCACGTGAAACGAGCATGAGGGCTCCTACCCACAGGACCGCAGTGTCTTGCGCGGGAGGGTGCACCCAGCGTAGCCCATCGCTTTGTCTCCAGTTTAACACGCTCCCCCTTGACCGCTCTGAGCGCTGCCAGGCCCGCTCCGCCTGGAACACCTAGCACGTCCGGCTCCGAAGTCCTGCTGGCCTCTCCTCTCAGCGGGGCCACAGGCCTCCGCTCCCGCCCCTGGAGAACGGCGATGGCCCGCCTGGTGGGCCACAGCAGGGATCGAATACAACGGGGAGGCAGGTGCTGGCCCGTCCCAGGGTTCAGTCCATGTCACAGCACACGTCACGACTTCCCGTGCACTCACTACATGGCAGCCCGAGGCTCTCGTGCCTGTAAAAGGGTTCCTGAGCGCCGAGTCCGGGCTGGGGAACCCGCCGCGTCCAGAAGCAGCGGGGCCGGCCGCTCCGCGCAGACAGGAGGCTCCGCCAGGGCCTCACTCAGACTGCAGGGCGGACGGGCCCGGCCGGCGCGGGCTGCGGGGGCACCGAGGCGACGCGGGCAGACCCACTCGGGGAAGGAGCCCTCCCTCCGGAACAGTGAACGCCCCATCATTGTTTTCCTTTCATCGCAGTTTGGAACACTTAGCATACGGACATCTGTTCCTTCGTGTTTCATCTTTGTTCATCTGTCATCCTCAGAATGAAAGTCCAGAACCTTCCGCACTGATTTTAAAGTCCGGCTGAACATTTAGCAATGAACAAAGCTGAAAACACAAAAGAGAAGAGAGGGCTTTTATAATCTTGTGTATTTTGCCTCTCAATTGGAGTATGACTGCCTCTAGCCGCAGCTTCTCCCTCCGCCACGGGCCCTCACGCAAGTCCACGCCGACCCCCGTCGGCCCAAACAGCCCCCAGGCCACCCGTCCGGTGACCCCGGGGCCTGCGCCACTCCTGCCCCGAAGACACACACGTGGACAAACCTGTTTAAACTTCCCTCTAATTCTGTCTAAGTCTTCGTGAAGGTTGGCGTAAGTAGGGTCACCGTAAGGGAACTTCTGAATCATGCCGATCAAGGACTCTAAGACCTTCATCTTCTTGCTGTAAAGCACAGAGACAAAGACGTTTAGTCCTCTGCACACACGGACTCCGGTTATGTAACAACCAGGGCCATCACTCACTTAAAAGTAACAGGCGAGCTAATGGGCCCAGTGCAGAAGCTGGATGATTCATTTTCTTATTACACTGAACAACATTTGTTTACCTAGCAACGTGCTCTTGCCCACTCCCGCGCCTCCACATCAAGGGCACTGAGCGGACAGACATGCCTCCATGCCAGGCGTGGAGCCGGGTGACTGGGACAGCCCCCGACAAGCACCCGACCGCTGCTTCCCTCGGTCAGGGAACAGGTAAAACCAGGCAGGACAGAGCGCCGGCACGATGGAGCCTGCTCTGGACCTGGGCGGGTTCCGGGACCTAGACTCCTCGCTGGCAGAGTTCAGTGGGGGGTGAACCAGCCTGCCCCTCCCTGCCAAGGGCAGACAAGGCGCCTGGTGTGTGAGTCCAGCTCCCGTTCCTCTGGGCGGTGGGTGGTTCTGCAGGAAGAGCAGCCCCGAGCGACCGCTCCAAGCTCAGTTACGTAACCCCTGAGCCTCAGTGTCCTCGTCAGTAAAGCGGGCAGTTAGCAGGGACCCTACCGGCTTTCGGGGTCTCAGATAATCTATGGGAAATGCAGAACCTAGTACAGAGTAGGTGCTCAATAAATTTAGTCTCCTCGCTTCTACCAGATCCTGGAGGCCGGGCTCCCACCTGGGCAAGTTCAAGGGTGAAAACAGTCATGAATGGGCACACCTGGCTAATGTGCCACAAGGGACCCTGACGGCACCGCCCTGGACCACATCCGATCATCTGCGTGTCTAGAGCCTGCTAGTGCCTGATCCATGGGAATTTCAAAGAATTCACCTGGAGGTGGATCAATAGCAATTCGAAGCAACCAAGACCTCCTCCTGTGAGCCTGCTGTACTGCCGGCTTCGGATGCAGGCGTGAGGGAGTCTGCCAAGCAAGCTGCTGGGCCAGGACCAGGGTGGCCACCTCTCTGAGAAAGTGCAGCACGGTGAAAGGTCAGAGCAAGTTAATTAAAGCAACAAAGCACTTGGTTTCCAGGGAGATCGCCGACGGAGGCCAGCATGTGGGAAACAGTCGTATTCGAACGTGACGTGAAGAACACCACCATTTCCAACTTTGCAAGCAGCGACTTATTCTCCCCTGGTCAGTGATGCTGCTGCGAACACACCCAGCGAAGTCAGTGTGTGCCAGGAGGGCGTGGGCCGCTCCCAGCGCCCCAGCTCAGCCCCAGCCAAGTGTCGGCTTCACCAGGCTGCTCATGGGGCAGAGCAGCAGCTCAGAGTTCATGGGAAAGCTAAGGCTGCCAGGGGTAACGCACCGTCCTCAGTCTGGGATGCTGCCATCCATGGCTCCTCTGCTGTAAGGAGCCCAATTCCACTGAGTGCTGATGCGGACGCAGGTGTCTCTCTCAGCACCCTCATTTGGGGCATAAGATCCTCGGTCAGCTTTCTATCGTTTTTCAAAACTGTACTGACCTACAAGAACCAGAAGCTGCAGGCCATTCACTGGCCATTCCGCCGGCCAGGACGCTGAAATAGAAGCCTCTAGGTTGTGCGTCAGAGACCCTCAGGCACTGCTGGCAGGGTGGGGGCGGCCGCAGGTGGGCTGTGGGCATCCGCCTGCCGGTGCCAAAGCTGCGGTTCCTTCTCTCTGACAGGCCAGGCACAGGAAACCCCTGCTCTGGGCAAGGATTGGAGCCCTACGTGTGGGCACCAGGGCAACATGCCTCCACCCGCCAGCAGACCTGGCACCAGGGAGACTCGTGGAGAACTCCAGGAACGCACCTCCCCTCGCCCCTTCATGGATTGGAGTGGAGAACCAAGCTCAGCTGTGACTGCCACCCAGTGGTGCCCCAGGCTGCCAGCCACCGTTCCAACCAGATCGCCAGCCACCCTGTGCTCCCGCTGGCTCCTCAGGGGAAAACCCCTGCAAAGGCGCCAGAACCTGGTCAGTTTCCAACTCTCCATGCGAATGGAGCGGCTGGTGAGCAGACAAGCCAGAGGGCAAGCAACTTCGGACCAGCCGCTTGGCTGCAAGCACCCTGTTCCTACATCTGAACACAGGGGTGCCCAAGCTCCAGAGACTCAAAGTATCTCAAGTAATACGAGTCATAGAGATGGGAATGCCATTTTCTCTGCTCTCCTCACGCCCCTCCCAGGCTGGGCAAGGCCGCCAGGCATCAGAATGAAGACAGATGCTACGGGCCACACAGTAAGAACAGTTTAAAAAGCCTGCGACAGCCAACAGCACTTAGTGCTTCCAAGTGTAGATGCCTGTTAAACACACTGAACACGCATCTCGTTAGCAGATCCGGTTGGCTAGGTTAAAAAACTGGGGACGGTGAAGCGAGCATTTCCAAACCCCCGTCATACCGTTACTGTTGTACTTTGTTAGACAGTCAGGTACAGGGGAAGGAGAAGATATAATCAATTTCAACATTACTTTATTGGCCACTGCTCTAAATGACCCCATGAAAAGCCAGGGGACATGAGAACTCTTGAGAAGTAGTAACAACCGGTGTTCATCAGACACTGGAAATGCGCCCAGGGCTGTCTCTTACTGTAATCTCCCCTTGCCCTCGGGGGAGACAGTCCAAGACCCCCAGTGGGTGCCTGAAACCATGGATAGTGCCCAGTGCCACATATATTGTTTACACACACACACACACACACACACACACACACACACCTTTTCACTTAAAGGGAACTCTTATGGCTTCTCCATGGTGCATCCTAATTGCCGGCACCTCCACTCTTGCACTCTGGGACTATGATTAAGAAAAATTGGGGTGGGGGGGTGAGGGGTTAAACACAAGCACTACGATATCAGGACAGTCCATCTGATCACCGAGATGGTGACTAAATGACTAACCCGCAGGGAGTGTCTGCAGCGTGGACTCGCTGGACACAGGAACCATCTGTATCGCAGGTAGAACAGAGCAGGACGGCATGCAATTTTGTCACACCACTCACTATGGTGCACAATTTAAAACTTATGAGCTGTTTATTGCCGAGACCGGTTTGGCTCAATGGATAGAGCGTCGGCTTGGGGACTGAAGGGTCCCGGGTTCGATTCCGGTCAAGGGCATGTACCTTGGTTGCGGGCATATCCCCAGTAGGGGGTGTGCAAGAGGCAGCTGATCGATGACTCTCTCTCATCAATGTTTCTAACTCTCTATCTCTCTCCCTTCCTCTCTGTACAAAATCAAACATATTTTAAAAATAAAAAAATAAAAAATAAAACTTATGAGCTGTTTATTTCTGGGACTTCCCATTTAATATTTTCAGACTGCGGATGACTGAACCTGCAGACAAAGGAGAATTACCACATTACTTCCTATTCATTTCACGATACCATTCAAGCTTGGCCTGGTTATTTTCTCCATTTTGCAGATGAGAAGACTGAGACATTAACTGCCTAAGGTCATAGCAAGCTGTGGAACCAGCATCCTTGGTCCATACACTGAAAAGGAAAGAAATCTGGGACTTACCTGTCTTTCTCAGTTGCACAGCTGTGCAGGAGACATCTCCAAGCAAACGCAAAACCTTGGTAGCACCCGATCTGCGAATTCACAAACATTTAAGAGTAAAATTAATACACAACAAGAGCGGGGCGAAGGACAGTGGTGCTTCTTGTATTGCTAGGTGTCGAGCATCTGGCAGGGGGAGTGAAGTCAAGTCATCAGTGGGGCAGCCAATCTCCAAGCTGGGCCTATGGATCCCACCCCCTCCGACTACACCAGGGAGGCCAGAACATGGAAGAAGAGGGCACACATGACTTCTGACGTTAGACACACAGACAGCGTCACCTGTACCTTGCTGTTTTGGATCAATCACTCACTCAAGTGTCATGAGGAAACTACAGCAGACCCACTGACAGACCCACAGGCGAGAGCCGCTGCCATGCGAGCCATCTTACAAGTGACTCTTCCAGCCCCAGTGGAGCCCTGGCTGGTCTGACACCGTCATCAGGAGACCCCGAGCCGTGAGCATCCAGCTCGGCTGCTCCTGGCCTGCTGGCCCTCAGAAGCTGCTGAGAACCAATGTCTGCTGACCTCAGTCCATACGTGTTGTGCCGATTCTTTCTGCAGCAGCAGATATCTATCTCATGGCCGTGACTGCCTAACTTAGCGTTCAGGGCCAGATGTCTGTAAGTGAGGGCCAATGTAGGACGAAGGGTAAAGAGAAGGAAAATCATGGCGTTTCAACCTAAATGAAAATGCAGTGCTCCCACATGACACGGAGCAGTTTTTCTGAGTGAGGACTCAGCTGGCTAAAAACACGAGGTGGCACTGTGACCCTCGCCCACATCGGAGGTGACTACGGACTGCCCTTCTCACTCCCAGCCACACGCACAACGCATTACGTCCATCGGCAATATGTGCCGGCGGTTCTGCGCTAAGAATATTTCTCCATCAATTTACGGTCTCGTCTGGGCCTGAAGTGCTTGGCTCCATCAGACTGATCATCAAAGTAAGCTCTAACCGGCCCATGAGCAGGATTCACTGGGGACGGCCACTGACCTCAGACCCGATCTTTGCTCCATATACTGTGCCGTGCTGTCTTCCTTCAATTATGCCCAAACCGCTGCCTTCTTCGTAGCCTTCCTGATACCCCTCCCCGCGGAACCTGTGACAGAGAAGAAGCGGGTTTGAGCAAACAGGAGAGAGAGCGTTTTTCCAGGGAAAAAAATGCTCCGGACCCAGCAAGACAACAGAATAATAGATGAAATACAGAATTTAAGTCAGAAGACAGGTTCCTATCCGTGATACCCCTTCCTAAGTCTGTCTTCTGGCAAGTCACTGGACCTCTTGAAGCCCAGCTGGCTTCTTCTGCAATGAGGAGCGTGGCCTCGTTAGTGATTCCCAAACCTGGTGGCCCGCCAGAGACACGCAGGAAAATTTCAAAGATGCCAATTCAAGAGCCTCGGCCCACTAGTCACTGAGTCTGGAGTACGACTTAGGAATCTACTTTTTGAAACCTCCTCGGTGATGCTAGTCTGTGGCCACGGTCCTATGAGTCTGTGAGAAATACCCTCAGCCAATTGTTTCAAAGAACTCTGTGAAACACACTGGGTTTTCTTTCCATCACATCAGGGCAGACTAGCAAAGGAAAATGTCATTAGATCACCACAAAGCATATGTGGGCCCTGGAGTATAATACCAGCTTTGATTTTGAGGGCTCAGCAGTAGAAATGGCACCATTTAACCTTCAGTCACCAAAAAGTAAAGCTGTTTGCCGGAGCCCCTAATGAGGCAGAGTATATGGGTCTGGCCTATTTTGGTTGTGTGATCCTGGACAGTGACCCTGCCTCATCTGTAAGACACGGTGAATAACAGAATCTACTAAAACAGATAATGGGGGCGGGAGTTTGCAGCACTCAAGTCAGAGTCGGATTCACAATGAGCTCCAAATAAAAGTCAGCAGCGACTGATTGACATCTATTGCTGTCTCAGAGAGGCACAAAGCAATTCACAGCTCCTCTTGTCACAGCCCCAGGCGCTCCCAGAGGATCTGGGGGTCAGGGATGACGTCTGACACATTTATCAGCATGTCCATGAATGCTGCCTTATGTCCTACCACGTAGAAACAAGAGAAAGGGGCAGTGCCCAGATGGCAGAGGTCTGTCCCGGCTGAGGACGGGGCGTTCCTGGACGAAGACAGCCCACAGACCGAGCAGATGCCTGGGGCAGCCCCGGGCGCGGAGGCGGGTTTGGAGGAGCAGCTGGGCACGTGGGCCCGCCCCGCCCCAGCGGCCGAGAAGTAAAGGGGAATCAACCATAGCTCGGCCCCCACACGTGTCCGCTGCTTCTAGGGCCACACAGCATTTCCTCAAGCGGCCACTGCACCCCAGCAGCTGAGAGCGGACCCGACCGGTCGGGGACTCACCTGTCATCCGCCATCACGATGGCGTCGAACAGGTCCTGACCCTCGGCCATGGCGGCAGCCCGATCAGCACCTGCCCGCGGGCTGCGCCCACCGGCGCGGCTACCACCACCCGGCACGGACGCACCTGTACCGAGGAGGCGAACCCTACTTCCGGGTTCGGTTGCGCGGGGCATGTCGGGAAAGGACGGCACGCCAGAGGGTCCAGCAGCGCCGGCGCGGAGCCGGAACGCGCGCGCGCCGGGACAGCTTCGGGCGGTGCTGGGAGGTGCTGCGGCAGGACGAAGCCCCGCCCTCGGTCCCGCAGCCCCGCCCCCGGTCCCGCAGGCCCGCCCCCTGCCCCACAATGGGCTGGAAGGCCCCAGCAGGGAGCAGCCACCTCGCCGCGGGGGCCGTGGCACGTGTTTTAGGTTTTACAAAAGCGAGCAGATGGGATTGAATTACTCAGGCGGCTCCAGAAAGGACCTGGGAAGAAACTGGAAAAGCGAGGCTCTGGCCCGGGGTGTTGAGGGTGAAAAGTTCCAGGAAGGGCAATTCCGGGTGGTCACGGGACCGACCCTTCCCACCTTCTCCCACCTCTCACTGACCCGGCTCACAGCGGGGGGACAGCGCCCAGCACGGCGTTGGACCTCGGACCCCAGCCTAAAATGCCTCCAAGGCCCACCCACACGTTAGCCGAAGCCCAGGGTCTGCGGGCCTCGGTTCCAGAAACTCGAGGCTGACGGACGAGATGGCTGAGAAGCAGCCTGGCCTTCCTCACGCTCGATGGGGAAAGGCAGTCAGTCATAAATGTTGGCATCCCCTCTTGAACTTCTAAGTGATTTGAAAACTGGGTATAGAAATGTTTGTGTGTCCCCCCCCTAACCCCACCCCACCCGCCTTGCTGTTGCTTGATTTTAAAGCACAGAGTAATTCAGAATTAGTGCAGAGTCCAGATCCAGTTGTACTGGAGGATGTGGAAGAGCACACCCAGAGGCATCCTCCTCCCAACCCCCTATTTTAAAAATTAGTGTCTGGTTTTACTTCCCCCATGTGTCGTTTCCAGGAGAGAGCCTTTCTGAGCACGATAATTTAAAAGGTGCTTCAAACTTAAGGTGACCAGACGTCCCGCTTTTGGCGGGACAGTCCCAATTTTTAACAATTTGTCCCGCGTCGTTTAAAAAAAAAAAAAGTCCCAATTTTTGAAATCGGGACTTTTTAAAAGCGCCGTGGGACGCGGGACAAATTGTTAGAAATCAGGGCTGTTCCGCCAAAAGCGGGACGTCTGGTCACCTTATAAATCATCAGTGGAACATAGACATGGGTGCCAGAAGCATTCTCAAGGGGGAAAAAAAAAAAAAGCCTAAAGCAGGAAGGCTTTTCTCACAGCCCATTGAACATTCTCTCCAGGCCTCACACACAGGAAACAGCAGCAAGAAGGCCACCCAAGGATCAGGAAGAAGACACCAAAGTATCACTAGTTGTATGTGTGGTGGCCCATCTAGAAACCCAAAAATATCATCGTGTTTCCCCGAAAATAAGACATAGCGCATGGAAAGATAAGACATCCCCTGAAAATAAGACCTAGCGCAACTTTGGGAGAAAAAATTAATATAAGACACTGTCTTATTTTTGGGAAAATAGGGTATGCATTTAAGACATTCCCAGAATTGGTAGTAGCAAAAAAAGAGAGAAAAAATCACTTGCTTTCTATTATTCTAACAATGATTCGTAGTAGCCAGAGCATGGAGGGCGGGAAAATCCACTCTCAATAGTCACAATAAATTGCTTAGAAATAGCAATTGAACAGAATCTACGTGAAGAAAATTGCGGCAGCACCCTGATCCTTGGTAGGAACAATTGCATCCAAAATCCCACATGATGGGGGGGAGGGGGGGGGGAATGTGTCAAAATTCGAAGTGTCATCTGGATGAATAAACTGATAAGAATAGCTAAGATTTCTTTAAAAGAATGATACGGAGAACTTACCGTACTAGATCTGAAAAATATAAAGTTGCAAATAAAATCTTTTAATACGTTAGTTAAAGAAGAAACCCGATGAGTGAAATAGAGTAGAATCAAAACCGGCTTGGCTCAGTGAATAGAGCGTCATTCTGCGGACTGAAAGGTCCCAGGTTTGATTCGGTCAAGGGCACGTACATTGGTTGCGGTCACATCCCCGATGGGGGATGTGCAGGAGGCAGCTGGTCTATGTTTCTCTCTCATCGATGTTTCTAGCTTTCTATCCCTCTCCCTTCCTCTCTGTAAAAAATCAAGCCGAAACTGGTTTGGCTCAGTGGATAGAGTGCTGGCCTGCGGACTGAAAGGTCCCACGTTCAATTCCGGTCAAGGGCATGTACCTTGGCTGTGGGCACATCCCTGGTAGTGGGTGTGCAGGAGGCGGCTGATCAATTTTTCTCTCTCATCGATGTTTCTGTCTATCCCTTCTCCCTTTCTGTAAAAAAAAAAAAAAATCAATAAAATATATTTTTAAATCAATAAAAAAATGTATTTTAAAAAAAGAAAGAGTAGAATGGCCAAGGAAAGGGATTCTCATATGATAAAAAGAAGTACAACTTAATAGGGAAAATAAATAGGAAGCAGTTACTATAATGGAAAAATGGGCTGTTTGGAGAAAGTCCAGTTCCATTTATACCTCACCGCATTCATTAAAATAGTTCCAGACAAATTAAAGACTTCTTTTTTAAAAAAAAAAAAAATGGACCTGTAATAATCTAGTGGGACGTTCAGGTGAGCCTGGAGGTGCATTCGTGATGTGTAAGAGGCTACGGAAAAAATCACAAAGGAAAAAACTGTGAAGATGCAACCCTCTGCACTTCAGAAGTGGTAATAACATTAGAAACCAAAGGACAATCTATCATATTTGTCTGTATATTTATATATTTTTTATGTGAGGGAAACAAATATATAGACAAATATTTGTCTATATATTTGTATATTTGTCAAATTTGTCTGTATATCTGTATATTTGGTAACGAAGGGCATGCCATTTCTACTTTATAAAGAACATGTGCAAGTGAAAAAGAAATAAATGCGTCCTCACAGAAGGAAAAAATGGTCCCAGGGCGTTTTCTAACTCACAGAAAAGCACCGGGAAGCAAGGACCGCCTTCAGGGCAAACGAAGGAGTGCCAATAGAAAAGTACAATGCAGCCATTACCTTTTACAATAGTTAAAAAGAAATCCTTTTTTCTTTTAGAATGGAAAGATACTATCATTGCAAATTGCCCGCAGATGCAAAATTGAAAGCCACCTTTCATTCTGGCAATAGAGAATGATAGCAAGGGTGTTTTAAATGTTTTTTAACTTTGACCTAGTAATTTCACGTCTAGGACTTCCTCTCTAGGAAATAACCAGGAAAAAGTGACCGTTTTTTGGTACGGTGCTGTCCAGTGCGGCACGATCTATAAAAGCTGGTAAACCGACAGCACCTCCCCTCGGTCCGCCGGTGCACAGAGGCTGCTCTGACCAACCCAGCCACACCGACCAGGGCTAAACAATTATGTTTTTAAAAATAAGGACGGTAAGCCCTGGCCTGTGTGGTTCAGTGGGTTGGGCGCTGCTCCATGCACCAAAAGGTTGGTTTGATTCCTCATCAGGGCACATGCCAAGGTTGCAAGCTCGATCGCTGGGTTGAATGCGTGGGGAGCGTTCCATAGATGTCTCTCTCTCACGTCGGTGTTTCTCTTTCAATTAAAAAGTATATTTTAGCACTAGCCGTTTTGGCTCAGTGGATAGAGTATCAGCCTGCGGACTGAAGGATCCCAGGTTCGATTCTGGTCAAGGGTATGTACCTCAGTTGCGGGCTCCTCCCTGGCCCAGGCCCTGGCTTGGGCTCTTGCAGGAGGCAACCAATCGGTGGGTTTCTCTCACATTGATGTTTCTCTGCCTTTCCCTCCTTCTAAAAATCAGTGGAAAATATCCTCAAGTGAGGATTTTTTTTTAAAGTATATTTAAAAAATAATGAAAGTGAGAGTGGCCATGGTTTCCCACTTCAATAGAGCTCAGACGAGCCCGGCGCTCACCCGTCCCCGCCAGCCGCCCAGAGGCTGCTGCCTTCGCCACCTCCTCGCAGCGCCTCGCCTCAGCCCCCAGGCTCGCCATGGCCACCACGTCCCAGCGCCAGGCAGCCACGTCTCCTCAGCCTCCCCCCACGACGATCATGCAACGAGGACCAACACAGCGTGACAACAGCGATGCTGACCATGGGGACAGCCATGCTGACTGCCACCGCATCCACCGCGCCAGAACTGCCATCACCCAGCAAATTAACGGGAGCTCCCCACTTCTTCCTCCTACTTGTCCCTGTCTTACTACCTTGACCGCCATGACATGGCTGTGAAGCATTTTGCCAGCCCTGGCCATTTTGGCCCAGTGGCTAGAGCTTGGCCCGGGTTTGACTTCGTCAAGGGCCTGTAGCTTGGTGGCAGGCTGGGCAGGCTCCATCCCTGGTAGGGGTGAGTGCGGGAGGCAATCAACCAATTGTCTCTCACATTAACGTTTCTCTTTCTATCTCCCTTTCCCTAGTCCCTCTTTCTCTAAGAACCAATTATGAAATTAAAAAAAAAATAATGGCCAGGACCGGTTTGGCTCAATGGATAGAGCGTCGGCTTGGGGACTGAAGGGTCCCGGGTTCGATTCCGGTCAAGGGCATGTACCTTGGTTGCGGGCATATCCCCAGTAGGGGTGTGCAAGAGGCAGCTGATCGATGACTCTCTCTCATCGATGTTTCTAACTCTCTATTTCTCTCCCTTTCTCTCTGTATAAAAATCAATAAAATATATATTTTTAAAAAATATATATATATAAAAAAATAATGCAAGTGACCGTCTCCACTGAGAGGGGCCGTGGTTTTCCACATCATCAGAGCTCAGACGAGCCCGGGGCTGTGCCCGTCCGGCCAGCCGCCCAGAGGCAGCTCCCCACCACCTCACAGCGCCTCGGACAGCCCCGAGGCCCCGCCACACAGCGCCACGCAGCCTCCCGTCCCTGCCGCCCACCAAGACGACCACTCGATGGCGGTGGTGAGGACCACGGCGACAGGGACCACCACCACATCTCGCAGAAGTGCTGCCTGGACTCGGAGGCCACCAGCAGCCGAGCTCAGCCTGCAGCTCCACACGTCCCGCGTCCGTCTGCTTGTCTGCCTGTCCGTGTCTCACTACTCTGACCCCCGT